TAGATATTCACCTTTGTGAGAGGTAACAGGGACAAATGCAAGGATTTTCTTATGAAGCTTCCACTTAGAATCAATGAAATGGGCAGTAACTACCATGTAGTTAATTCTTTGGATGGATGTCCAAGAATCTATAGTGATACTAACCCTATGACTGCTTCCCCTTAAAAATGACTTCAATTTCAGTCTCTCCTCTTCATAGACAACTAGGATGTCCCTACTTATAGTCCACCTGGTTGGAACTATAAACCTAGGGCAAGCAATAGCTATGAACTTCCTGAAACCTATTCCCTCCACAAACCTAAATGCCAATTCATCTATGATTATCATTTCAACCAAGGCCCTCCTAATTGACTCTTGATTAAAAACTCAGGTCCCTATTTCTCCCACAGTAGGCTGACCATCTGTAAGTGATGTAACAACCTGAAATGTTAACAAGGACTGCCTAGTTTCCTTGGAGTGAGGATTTTTTTTCAAACAGCTAAACATGTGATTTCTTAAGGAAGAAGTCCCATGTTTTTTTGTCTCATAGTGATAAATTTTGGCACAATAAATGCATTTGCCTTTTACAACCACATTATTACTGTCTTTTATCTTCTCAAAATGATCCCACACTGGTGATCTTTAGAGCCGTCATAACGGGCTTAGCCCGCTGGGCCGGCCCGCCCCACCCCTACTTAGGTAGGGGGGCGGGTTTCAAAATTAGAAGCCCGCTAACGTTTAGGCCCGCGGGCTTGGCGGGCCGAGAGCTACCCTCCTGTTTTTTTTTTAATTTTATTTTTATATATTATATATAATATTTACACTTTACTACTTTAGATATTATTATAGAATAGAGAGTTCAGACGCCACAGCTCACAAGTCCACAACAAACCCTAGTCCCACTCTCCAAGACTCCAACTTCAATTTTGTTTGAATTATTTTGCATTCTGCATTTATGTTAAATTGTGTGTTGTTGTGGGAAAGTTTAATGAATTGAGTGGATTCTATCATTTCCGTGTGTGAATAATGAATTGAGTGGATTATGTTAATTTTTTTTATGTTAAATTCCAGAATACCAGTTGGATAAATTTAGCAAAACAAAACAATAACCAATAAGTTAATAATTTTTAAAAAAAAATGGTTTTGGGGCGAGGGCCCGCCTAGCCCGCGGGCCAAAGGCGGGGCGGTCCGGGCCAGCAAAACCCAGGACCGCTAAGGAGCGGGCTTTTTTGGCCCGCCCCGCCCCGCCAGCCCGTATTGACAGCACTAGTGATCTTGAATCAACCTGTTTCCTCTTCTTGGCAGGAACAGCAGTAGGAAGTTGCTCATTCTATTGATTCTCAACAGTTTGGGCTTCCACCCCTGAAGGTCCATCAATTGAGGAGTTGGGAGGTTGACTACCAGGCATACTGATATTATCCATCTAAAAATGATGAACTATCAGTACACATAGCAGGATTCATATTCAAGAAGAGGCAGCACATGAAATCATTTAAGCATTCCAGAATCAGACACATTTTGTGTCATCATTAAACAGGAATGCATAATTAATTAAAGGGCATTATTCAATACAAATATACAAATACAATTAAGGGAATACATCCATAAACTTACAAAGAAATCCAGATTCAGGGATATATTTTAAATATCCAGATGAATCAGAGACTGTTATAACATAAAAACAGCTCATTTCATCAATATCATTATAAGGATTTCTATGGGGCTTCCACCAATTTAAGTCTTTAAGAGATATTATAACACTCTAATTTATAAGACTCTTATAACAGTCAGTGCTTCCACCAGAATATATCAAAAGTTATGAAATCAAGATACAATCTGAAACTTCTCAACAGATTGACTTAATCAAAGTCCACAGAAATCAAAGAATCATAGAAACCATAATCAAGTATCATAACATCACAAACAAGGGACAAGTGACATACAATCTGGAACTTCTCAACAGATTGACTTAATCACAGTTCACAATTCAAATTTATCACAGTGACACAGTCAGTGCTTCCACCAGAATGTCACACAACATATCACACATTCACACATTCTGAAATCAATTTTATAACACTAGGGTTTTAATAAAAAATCAGTGCTTCCACCACAATATCACAGAGACACAAAATAGATCACAAATTCACAATAAACTCAGAGTAATATGCCAATAACTTTTAGAAATAACTTTTTCAAAACTAGGGCTTGCATTTTGCAGTAACAAAGTCAGTGCTTCCACTACAATATCACAGAGACCACATAATATATCATAATAAATTTAAGAACTGCAAATATATAAAAATAGGGTCAGCGAGTTACTTCTTTTCTCACAAATACCCCAGAGAACGAGGGATTCTGTTTACTGGAAGTCGACGACACCACTAGTCCACCACAGCACCACGTCCACGTCCACCACAGCACCACTACACCAGTTAGGGCCTCAGGGCTTCCACCAGTGACCAATGTTTCGTCGTCTATAACAGAACCAACCGGACAAGGAGAGTAGAGACTACAAAGAAGGTAGTCTCTGTCTAGTAGAGAAGAGAGAACTGAGGAGTGAGGACTAAAATCGCAAGGTGCGACTGCGCAGAGAGCCAGAGAGAACTCAGAGAATGAGAGAAGACAGAAGAGAAGCTCTCGTCTGGAAAACCTAAGAGAAGAGACTAACTGCGCAAATGAGATATTCTCAGTAGCAACATATATATATACTAAGCCTAAACGACGTCGTATTGCACTCTATGTACGTAACCCTAGTATTAATCGGGTATTCGAACGGATCGGGTGTATTTTTTAGCCCCCCTACCCGAATGCCGTAAACCGACGTCGTTTTAGATGTCGGTTCGGTTTTGCGAATCGGGTAGCGGTCGGTTCAGTTTGTCTTGGTCGGTTAGCGGTTCGGTCGGTTTTTCCGATTTTTCGGATTTTGCTCAGCCCTAATTGTTTCAATAACCAAAACTTGTCAAATTTATATAGAGTAATAATTCATGGGTTGAGTCTACAATGTAAGTGTAATTAATGGACTAAAACTGTTATTTTTCATAATAATATTATTATAGAAAATACTGTGTACTCCCATTTTTTACTTCCAATATTTACAAGCACATACGAAATCTTAATGTAGACATTTGTATTGTGAGTCACATGAAAAAAGTAGCTTATCAGTGCTTACTTCAAAGAATCAAAATTTTAATGTAGACATTTGTATTGAGACCCACATAAAAACAGAGAATAAAATTTAGAAAGTAAGATTTCGAAATATTATCCTAAATTTTTAGTTCTCTTGCCACATAAGGGACGCATAGGATATGCTTTTATTGTTGATATGAAATCCGTAAAAGCTAGTTTTCTTCCGGTATAAGGTACTGATTTCAAATCATACACGTAATGTTTTCTTATCCTAACCAACTCCATGCATACTTCATCCTAACCAAACTTTTTAAATTCATATATGGGCATCCATACTATATGCAATCCAATTTCAAATGTAATATCTATATATACTTCTAATTTGATTCCGGAAAATGCTTTTTCTCTGATCTTCTAATTAAATTTCTCTTTAATCAAATATTTAAAAGGAAAATGTTATTTTATTCTTATAAGTTTTTCCTCCGTGATATGACTTATATTCATTGATGTCATGAATGGACTGACATTGAATACATATATAGAATCAGAATAAACAACTCAATTAGATAGTACATAGAAAAATAATGAGAAAAAAAAAATTAAGAATAGTGTGTATTTTATTAAAAATACAATAAGATAATGGGGTTTTGGTAAATGGCGGTTAGCAGATAGTTGTTAGCTGATTGGTTAGTGAGTTTGACTAGTTGATAATATTAGCTGATTGAGAAAAGTGTTTGGTAAATTAGTTGTTAGCGGTTACCTGATTACATACAAAATGACTTTCTCAAAAAACTACTTTGAACAGCTTTTTGAATTTTAACATTTTAGAGCAATAAGTTACATTGTTTAACCAAGTCAAATAACTAATAGTATTCAAATAAGACAAAATTCAAAATTGAATGATAGGCTATTTTACCAAACAGAGGCAATGCCATATTAAAAGGGAAGAATATATATATATATATATATATATATATATATATATATATATATATATATATATATATAGAGTGAAAGGTTCCCGTGCCATTGGATGCTTCCCGTGCGGATGTGCGGTGGATTAATGTGCGTGAAATTTGTACTCAATGTGCGTGAGTGTTGTGCTTAATGTGCTTGAGATTTGTACTTAATGTGCGTGAATGTGTAAAATGCAGCAGAAAATATTGATGTCAGCTTATTCCCCATCCCCAGTAGCCATTTGCCCTCTCCCTGTTGATGATGATGCAGAGGCGAGCTATGGTGGTTAAGAATTATGGAAATAATACAACAGAAATCCACAGTTAGCTGCTGTGCAAATTTTACTGTGCATGCGTCATTTATATAAACATTCAACTGCATTGAAGGTAGTTGATAATCCAGAATCCATGGCCAAATTGAAGGAATAAGTAACAAGAAGCTTGGGCGTTAATGTGCGTGAGTTTCTGTTCTGTTTCCTTTTGATCGAGCTCGTAATTCTGAAATACTCACTCACATTAAGCACAAATCTCACGCACATTAAACACAATACTCATGCACATTAAGTACAAAACTCATGCATATTAACATGACGCACATTAATTACAAATCTTAGGCACATTGAGTACAAATCTAACGCACATTAAGTATAAACCTCACGCACATCCGCACGGGAAGCAACAAATGCACATCTATATATATATATATATATATATATATATATATATATTCAATGTAGCATATATAGTTTATATACATTGAATTTTAAATATTCATTGAAATAATAAACCAAGTCATCAACTTAAACCTACACGTTATTCATATATATTTATTGTTTCGCAATATTAGGAGGAAGAAGAAGAAGTAATTTGTGATCATTGGATAGCCATCGATCTCAATCAAATTAAAGGTCAATCGCTTGTATCTATCGCAAGCCTTAATTTTCCCCAGCTAGGCCACATTGGTTCTTTCTTTAACCATTAGTTCTAGAACCTTTAAAACCCTAAAGAGATCTTTCAGAGAACAGAAAGAAGAAGAAGAAGAAGAAAATATATGCAATGGGTCCCTCTTCAGAGATTTCAGATGGTTCAATATTTCCGATCAAAACTGTTGTTGTGCTGGTCCAAGAAAACCGGTCATTTGATCACATGCTGGGATGGATGAAAAGCCTGAACCCCGAAATCAATGGCGTCGCCGGAAAGGAGTCCAACCCGCTCCCCACCTCCGGCGGCGCCCAAAACTCGACGAACGACGTCGTCTTATTCGGGAACAAATCGCAGTACGTTGATCCGGACCCGGGCCACTCGATCCAGGACATCTACGAGCAAATATTCGGGGCGCCGTGGAGCCAAGACTCGGCCGGCAAGAAACTGGAGCCGACCATGCAAGGGTTCGCGGCGAACGCGGAGAGGAATCAGGCGGGCATGTCCGGCGCGGTGATGAACGGGTTCGTGCCGGAGGCGGTGCCGGTTTACAAGGAGCTTGTGAGGGAATTCGCGGTGTGTGACCGGTGGTTCGCCTCCGTCCCCGCCTCCACGCAGCCGAATAGGCTGTTCGTGCACTCCGCCACCTCGCATGGCGCCACCAGTAATGACACCAAAAAGTTGATCGAAGGTTTCCCGCAGAAGACAATCTTTGAGTCCATGGATGAAGCTGGCTACTCATTTGGGATTTACTATCAGTATCCACCCTCCACACTCTTCTACCGGTGAGTAATTAATTAATAATCTCTCTCTCGATCGATCGATCTGTTTTGAGTTTTATTTTAATTTTTTAAAAAAAATAGATTCAGATATATATTTTAAAAGATGAGTTAATACCAACCAGGGTGGAGTATAATAGTTTTACCACATTTAGGACAAATGAGTTAATACCATCCAGGGTGAAATATAATAATTTTGTTACATCCCGTAGCTGGGTGTTTATGGAATTTTTTTAGCAGGTCGGTCTAGGTAGTTGATATTACTTTTGAGAAATTCCCTAAACTTTCAAATTATTATTATCTGTAGTCCAAATTAACCATTATTATTTAATGGTCCTTCAACTATCAAATTTTAACCAATCCTAGACGGATTAGGCCTGGTTATATTTTGAAAGTTGAAGGACCTTGGGTGGTGAACTTGGCCACACATAGTAATAATTTGAAAGTAGAAGATTATATTACAGGATAGTCAATTTGAAAGTTTAGATTTAAACATGGCAAAATCATTATATATACTTTGAAAATTCATAAAACATTAAGGGAGCATTTGATTCACAAAATGTTAAATTACTTTAGAGAAAAATGTTAGATTATTGATAGGAATGTTAGATTATGTTTAAAAGATAGACCTACGATTTGAATTCCTAGTTCTAATATTTGAACCACAACATATACGAGTATTAAGGATGTTTATCTGTCAACTCATGGGCGGGCCGGGGTGATGACGACTATTCTAATTTCTAGTAATGAAGATGGAGATATTCTTGACGTAAGGGAATATTTTTTTGATTAATACTCCTTCCATAAAGAATAATGGGTTAATTGAGGGTACGGTGCTTCCCTTGCGATTGAAAACAAACATTTCATATTATCCATCTCTCATCTTTCCTCATTCAGCAGTACTGTCTTTTGCCTTTTAATATTGGCTTGCCTTTAATTTAATTTCATTGCATTGTTTGCCACCTTCTTTCCATCTTTTCTGGATAATTGAAGGATTAGATAGATCTGTTTCAACTAAGGGTCCGTTTGGAAAGCAGGAAAATGACTTCTGGAAAATGAGTCATTTTCCGGAAAATATTTTCCTTTCCAGTGTTTGGTTGCATTATGGAAAACTGTTTTTCTGTGTTTGGTTCATTTTCTGAAAAATGAGTAGAATTGTATAATTAAACATTTTAATTATTTTATTTAGAATATTACAACATGTATAATAATATATAATAATATAATATTAATTTTAAATATAATAAAAAATAGCTAAGTTTTTTTTTAAAAAAAAAAACTAATAATATATCAAAAATATTATGGTGGTGGTGGTGGTGTAGTGGTAGTGGTGTTATTCGTTATATAATAATAATAATAATAATAATAATAATAATAATAATAATAATAATAATAATAATAATAACAACAACAACAACAACAACAACAACAACAACAACAACAACAACAATAATAATAATAATAATAATAATTGGTGGTGGTATGATGGTGGTGGTGTGGTGGCGGTGGTATGGTGGTGGTGGCGACGGTGGTGGTTGTGGTGGTATGGTCGTGGCGGTGGCGGTGTGGCGGTGGTTGCGGTGGTATGGTTGTGGTGGTATGGTGGTGGTGGCGGTGGTAGCGGCGACGGTGGTTGTAGTGGTATGGTGGTGGTGGTGGTGGTGGCGGCGACGGTGGTTGTGGTGGTATGGTGGTGGTGGTGGTGGTGGCGGCGACGGTGGTTGTGGTGGTATGGTGGTGGTGGTGGCGGTGGCGGCGACGGTGGTGTGAAGGTGGTGGTGTGGTGGTGGCGGCGGTATGTGGTGGTGGTGGCGGCGGCGATGGTGGCGGTGGTATGGTGGTGGTGGTGGTGGTGGTGATTGTGGTGGTGGTGTGATGGTGGCGGGGGTATAGTGGTGGTGGCGGCGGCAATAGTGGTGGTGATGGTGGTATGGTGTTGATGATGTTGATGATGTTGGTGGTGGTGTGATGTTGGTGTAAAAGTTGGAAAATGACTTCCCCCCAAAAAAAGAGGAAGTCATTTTCCTCCAAAACAAGCCTATTTTCCAAAGTCAACGGAAAATGATTTCCGTTGACTTGATTTTCCAAGCACATCCAAACATTAGAAACTTGGAAAATGATTTCCAGAACTCATTTTCCAGGTTTCCAAACACACCCTAAAAGAACTAAGATTAAATACTCCGTAGATTATATTTATATATTATATATTATATATTATATATTATATTGCTACACTACAATAATAAATACCAACAAATTTATTAACAAATTAAATAATTTACAACTTAAATACCTATAGATTTTAATGTACGTTTTTCTATGTTTTTCAATAAAGTAAATTTAATTTTATTTGTAATAATGTATGTTTTAAAAAAAAAAGAAAAGAAGTAGACTTCTTACTTAAAATAGCAAATACTTGTTTGAGCATAGAATTAAGTCATGATATATTCTCCATTAAAATTAATTTATACTCCTCCGTATCATTTTATGTGTCTGGTTCGGTTAACGAGGCTTCACTGATGTTATTTTTAATTCAATTTTTTTTATAATAGTAAGTTTAGTATTAGTATACAAAATTTATATATTTAGAAACTACACTAAAAGTACTATTAAACACAAAAAATTAAATTCAAAAATAAGTAAACAATACTACTAAAGAAAATAAACAAAGAAGAAATAATTGGTTTGACCAATGAATAGTAAATATGACATATAAAATGAGACAGAAGGAGTATTTAGTTATTAGCCTCATAAATGTGACATGACAATATCATATTAGAGAATTTATGGACTAGTTTTTTTAAGTATAAAAGAAACATTTTTCTTGTAGTGTTTGTGTTCGTGTTCGTTTGTTATGATTTTTAAAGTGTTGGTGTTTGTGTTCGTTTGTTAAGGTTTTTGAAAATTATATTTATGTTTGTTTGTTAGGCATTTGCTAGTGTTCGTTAATATTCGCGAACACATTTGTCAACTTGTTCATTAACATTAAGGAACACGTCACGAATGCTAAACAAATAAATATATGTATATGTGCATGATCATAATTTTTTCATGAACAAAAAACAATGTATATTCATGAACAATAACCAAATAAACAACATAACTATAAAAATAATGCAAATAAGTTCAAAAGAAACATCTAATATCAAAGTCAAAATACCAAGTCTAAAAAAACACAAATTGTTTGTACACATTAGCTTATTGGATTTGCGGATTTGCAGTGACAGTGGATCTGCGGTGAGTCATTAATGACGGTGGATTTATGGCATTCCTCTTCTTCTTCTTCTTCTTCTTCTTCTTCTTCTTCTTCTTCTTCTTTTTTTTTTTTTTTTTTTCTTTTTTTATTTCTCAAGCACTGAACGATAACTTATCAAAAGTTCAAAACCTAAACTGAAGGAGAACTTAGAAGAAGATAATTCATAATTGGTAGCTAGGACCATAGAAGTGGTTGAAAAATATAATTAAAATTAAAAAAAAAATAAAAGAGTTAATGTCATATGAGGTCCTTCGAATATAGTGATTTTGACATGTTCAGTCCTAAACTTTTAAATTAATCACTCGTGGTCCTTCGACTTTCAAATTGTTACCGTCCGTGATCGAAGTTAACCACTAATGATCCTTCAGCTATCAAATATTTTAACCACACATGGTCCCATCAAGACCACCACGGCTGGTTAAATTTTGAAAGTTAAAGGACCATGGATGGTTAACGTGGACTACGAATGGTAACAATTTGAAAGTCGAAGGACCATGGGTGATTAATTTGAAATTTTAGGACTAAACGTGGCAAAATCACCATATTTGGAGAACTTCAGATAGTATTTACTCTTTTAAAAAAAAATAGGTTAAACTAAAGTAGTATATATGTTAAATTCTTTTAAAAATAAACTAATTTAAATTATACTTAAATGAGTCTATTCGTGGATAGTTGTAAATGGACTCTAAATCAGCATGTTCTTGAATATTATCAAACAAATACTAAACGAGTTTATTCATGTATTAACATTATTAAACGAACACTAATGAATGCGTTCACGAGCTCTTAGCAAACGAGCATACAAATGTTCAGACTTTGTTAATTTATTAAACGAACTCTAAAATTTGTTAATATATTTTCGTTTACCTTAATAAACAAACACAAGTAGTTTATCAAAAGTTTTATTCGCTAAAGTAGTAAAATGTCTTGCCCATAACATGCATGACTATTGTTGTTATCAGGAACCTTAGAAAATTGAAGTACATTAAGAACTTCCACCAGTTTGATATTCACTTCAAGACTCATTGTAAGGAGGGTAAGCTGCCCAACTATGTGGTAGTTGAACAACGTTATTTTGACTTGAAAATATTACCTGGGAACGACGACCACCCCTCCCATGATGTGTTCGAGGGCCAAAAATTCGTTAAAGAAGTTTATGAAGCGTTGAGATCCAGTCCTCAATGGAACGAAATGTTGTTCCTAATCATATACGATGAGCATGGTGGGTTCTACGATCATGTGCCCACTCCGGTCACCGGAGTCCCAAATCCCGATGGCTTAATCGGCCCCCAACCTTACAATTTTCAGTTTGATCGCCTTGGCGTTAGGGTTCCGGCTATTATGGTTTCTCCTTGGATTGAACGAGGAAAAGGTACATCTATCTTAATACCATGATTTTATTTTATATTGGAAAAATGGTCAAATATGCCCTAAACTTTACACCAAAAGTCAATTAAGCACTTTTTTTTTTTTTTAATGTTTTTTAACGAGGCACTAAATTTTTAAAAGGTGCATTTAGGCCATTTTACTAGGCCTTTTAAAATAATTTTAAATATTGTGTTGTTGGGAATAAGAATCAAATAGGCCCTTCAACTACACAACAAGCTGCAATTAGGCTATCGAACTCAAAAAAACTACAATTACATCATCAAATAATGCAATTCAACTTAAAATGACCTGTTGACTTGGTAACATGCTGACACGGCGGTTACCAACTTTTAAAAATCTTTTTAAATTTTATTTTAATAAATTTAATTTAAATAATTATAATTATTTTAAAAAAAATTTAAAAAAATCCTCGCCTTCTCCAGACTTTAGTGAGAAGGCAACCCAGTGGGTCGCCCAAATAAGTCGACCATATGAAAACCTTTCACCGCGCCACATGATTCTGATCTTTCGCTTTCTCCGGCGAGACGCGACTACTGCTGGTTGCCTTCTCTGAGATGAGAAGGCGACCACTAGTCGCCTTCCATGAAGAAGGTGAAATGTTTGCATTCTCCATGGAAGGCGACCAACTGGTCACTCCGCCGAGGATGACGGGTAGTTGGTCGCCTTCTCTGGCGGAAGGCGACCAACTAGTCGCCTTCCATCTGAGAAGGCGACCAACTAGTCACCTTTTCTGGTAGACGGCGATCGTCATCAGCCGTCAAATTGTCACTGGAGATTGATAAAATTATGCCGAAATCTTAATTGAACTTTTTAAAAGTTTAGGAAGGTAATAATTGACTTTTATTACCTTTTCCTTTTCTTGTTTAAGTGTTGATTTGAGCCTTTTCCTTTTCTTGTTTTTTAAAATTTAATGGGTAATACGTCATGATCTTGTATTATAATGGTTTAGTGATTACAAAATATTGTGTGGGTGCAGTGTTGCATGGACCTTCAGGACCGTTCCCTAACTCAGAATACGAGCATTCTTCCATTCCAGCAACGGTGAAGAAAATTTTCAATTTGAACCAGTTTCTTACTGAGCGGGACGCATGGGCAGGCACATTTGAGACTGTGATAACTAGAACTACTCCAAGAAAAGATTGCCCAGGTTAATCCTTTTTCTTCTTTGCATTTTTAAATTAAATGAATGTATATTTACTTTCCTGACGTATACGTTATTACTGCAGAAACATTGGCAGAACCAGTGAAATTACGGTCGGCCGAAGCGAAAGAAGATGCAAATTTGACAGAGTATCAAAAAGAGATGGTGCAGATGGCAGCTGTTCTATGTGGAGACCACATGAAAGAAGACTACTATCCCCATAAGTTGGTAGAGAATATGAGTGTTGCAAAAGCTGCTGATTACTCTCACCTGGCCTTCAACAAGTTCTTAGGTGATTGCGAGAATGCAAGGCAGCGTGGGATCCATGGAGATTATTCCGTCGTTGCTTTGTCAAAACAACCGCCGTCGCCCAACACTACTCCCAGGAAACCCAAATCCTTCGCTACCAAGTTCCTTTCCTGTATTGCTTGTGGCCGTAATTGATTCATTAGCGCAGCTTTGATATAATTATATTCATGGTTTTTATGGACAATACTTTTTTTTTCCTGTTATTTGGGATCTATAATTTGTTTTATTTGACAAATGCAAGTCATTGTGGAAAATGTTGATCATACATATAATATATAAACATTTAATTGAGATGAAACGCATACTTCAATTTGATATTAGAGTCAACCCTATGTCAAAAAGTCATTAGTTTGAATAACCGCGTCACCCGTACATGGAATGCTTCAATTGAAATTTTAGAAGTTTCTATTACATAATCCAAAAGTAACTAAATTAAAAGGTCTTAATTTTCTCTTTTGAATTTATTTTAATATCTACATCTACCACAATATACAAATTTAATAAGAGTCAACAAAGTTAAGCCCTTAACGGGGACAAAAAAGAATGGTAGTGTAATTGTTGGTAGAAATGAATGATTTATATTATTTTGATTTTAGTATTTTTTTTAATGATTTTTCTTAGAGCAAATTACACTTTTGATCCTATGACTATAGTGGGCATGTTAATTTCAGTACTCGACTACTTTAAAAATTTACAATTTAATCCCGTAACTATGCAATTTTTAACACATTTGGTCCTCCGACTAAATGTCGCCGAAAAAACTTAAACCTTTTAAAAAAAAATTATTCTTGGGGCAAAACGGTCTTTTTACGTTAAAAAAAAAAAAAGAAAAGAAAAGTTATTTGCTTCCTCTTCTTCGTGTACCACGCTCACCACCAAGCCACCATTCTTGTCACTGGTGGTATCATTAGCCAGCTCATCGTCTTCAGGGGTTGGCTCAGGCGCATCTCCGTTGTCCATGGCGCCACTTTTGCTGTTGTCCTTGCTCTTCTTCTTCTTGGCGCCGGAGCGTCCTCGGCCGCCGCCGCCGGAGCGAGTGGAAAATCAGCAGGGTGTGGTAATACAAGAGTAAAAGCTTCTTCTCTTTAGTCATATTGTTATACTTGGGCATGAAATCCTTAACGACTTTATCTTCTGGATAGAAAACCATTAAACTGGTCTGGACATTCAACTGCGGCTAAATTTTGACCAGAAGCCAGAGGCGGAGACGGCACCACGGCTGTCTGGCGAAGTTGCTAGCTCGTTGTGGCTTCGGAGTTCGGGCTATGCTTGTCGCCTCCGTAATTTGATAAAATAATTTGAATAAAAAACACACTATAAATTACACATCTCATTATTAATATAAAAGAATGTTATATATATGTGTGTGTATTAAATATTTTAAAAAAAAAATTATTAAAAACGTGATTGTGTTGAAGCCAAAAAAACTGTAAAAACATGTTAATGCCAAAATTTGAACCCATGCCATTCATCATCATTATAACCAAACACATGCTTTGCCAAGTAATCTAACTTCTTATAAACATTCATATGTTTTTTTATACTAATACTAAAACTTGTACTATATATACATATATACATACAAAGGTTGTATATGGAGTGGGGGTGGGGTGAGGGGGCAGCCAGGGACGGAGGTATATGTTGATTGCAGGGGGCCTTAACCCCCCCCCCCCCCCCCCCCCCAAAAAAAAAAAAAAAATTAGTACTAGTATATTGCTTTTTTGTTTGGCCCCCCTCACCAAAGCATCTCCCCTCCAAACAAAAGTTTAAGCTTTCAAAACCTCACCAAAATACCAAAGTATTTGCCCCTCCAAGCAAGGGAACATTACTGTGAGCACGTGTCCACCTTGTAAGGTGGGCTCGGTTCTATATCCATAATTTCTATACTGTAGATCTATAATTTCTATACTGTAGATTTATAATTTCTATACTGTAGATTCATAAAATTTATACTTTAGATTCATAATTTCTAAACCGCAGATTCATAATTTAAATACAGTGGATTCATAATTTCTATACAGTAAATTCATAATTTCTATACTGCAGATTCATAATATCTGTATTGTAGATTCATAATTTCTGTACTGTAAATTCATAATTTATAAACTGTATAGTTATCAAATTATGAACATATATGTTGGAAAAAATAGCTTAAAATGACATAAAATGGCATGTTAAGTGGCTATTTTGTGGTACAATTATCAGTGGGGTCCACTTCCAATTTGGGTCGGGTCAAAGTGGATTCGGATTCTTCGTAGTGAGACGAAGAGATCGATATATTGTACGCTCAAAACGGATAATGGGTGAATGAGATATTGATTCTCAAAGTAGACCCATTTGAGTTGGAAAATGAAGGGAAAAAGTGAGCTTTTGTCCCACATTGCTTTGGAATGAAGATTTTCCCCCCTTATATACAAGAGCTCTTTTGAAGCTTGTAGAATTGTATAGCATAGAGGCTCTCTCTCGCGCGCGCGCGGGGGGGGGGGGGGATTTGCAAATCAAATTCCAACTAGACGAGACTGAAAAAGGCTTGATTCAAGCCCGAGCTCGTGTGCGCCGGCACCTGCGGGCATAGGTTATGCCAAACTTCAATATCATTTTCCAAACATGCCACTTGTAGTTTCGGCTCCCTGAGCCGAAACTGAACAGCAGCAGCAAGTTTCGGCCATATACGACCGAAACATGTCCAGCCTTGTGGCCGATGTGGCCGAAATGTCCTGAACAGGCCGAAACTGGGTAAGGTCGAAAGTTGAGACCGAACCCTGTACGCCAACAGTCTGGAACCCGAAAGTTCTGACTGTTATGGGGATTGAATTCATCTGTTACGGAATTAATATCCTATTAACTCCAATTTTGAATTCTGAATTCAATTCCAGGTAGTGGGCTGCTGTTATAGCTATTGGAAGGCAGCTTTAATGTCATTTTTAATTGCCATAATAAAGGCTATTGGCTCCTTCAACCCTATATAAAGAGGGTAGAGGCAGTAGAGTTGACACACACAAAAAAATTGAACACGAAAGTTCATCATTTTTTTAGCCTCAAAACCTCTCTGCTTCTACTCTTTCTTTAGCTATACTGTGTTCATAGTCGTGTCTTGCTCGCCGGATTCCTTGTTTGAGTGCTCAAACATTGAATCACTAGCAAGTTTTATCCTGGGAAACCTAGGCCACAACGCTCCTAGCATCTTTGGGAGGTGGCAAATAAGGTTTTAAGGAAAGAGTGCTCACTTGAGTCTTGCAAAAACCCAACACCCAACAATGTTGCTAATTCCCAAGCTACACTAGTGAACGTTGGTTCACAAGATGGTGGGAGCACTGAGGGATATATTCCCATGTCTCGGGTACCATCGGTACCGAGTGGTTCGGCTGAAAAGCCGGAGAAGTTCACCGGTGTTGGTTCGAACTTCAAGAGGTGGCAACAGAAAATGTTGTTCTACCTAGCAACTCTCGGCTTGGCGAGGTTCTTGTCCGAGAAGGTTCCCGAGTTGAAGGAACAAGATGCACAAACCGTGATGGCAGTTGGCTATTGGAAGGATTCGGACTTCCTTTGCCGAAACTATATCCTAAATGGATTGTGTGACACGCTATACGATGTATATCGAAAGATAAGCACATCAAAAGCGTTGTGGGAAGCTTTGGATCATAAATACCGAAGTGAGGATGCCGGCTCAAAGAAATTTGTGGTTGGCCGATTCCTCGACTTCAAAATGGTTGATTCAAAGACCGTGCTAAGTCATGTAGAAGATTTGCAATTAATCTTTGATGAGATCCGTGACGAGGGCATGGTGCTAAGTGAAGCCTTCCAAGTGGGATCTGTGATCCATTTGTTGCCTCCAAGTTGGAAGGACTTCAAGAACTACCTTAAGCATAAGCGAAAGGAGATGAATCTGGAGGACCTGATCCAGCGACTCAGGATTGAGGAAGGGAACAGGACGAATGATAGGAAAGTTCCTATCGTTGTTGGCGCTAAGGCCAACGTTGTGGAGCACGGTAAGAGCTCCAAGAGGAACCAGAAGGACAAGCGAAAGCTATGTCCAAAAGGTGGCGTTACCAAGAACAAGTTTCCTGGTGAATGCTACAATTGTGGCAAGCATGGCCACAGAGCATCTGAATGCAAGGCTCCAAGGAAGAAGAACAAGAGTTCTGAAGCCAATGTTGTTGGAGATAGCAATCAGAAGGAGGTCGAGATTAGCCTTTCGGCTATGGTGACCGAGGTGAACCTCGTGGGCTCAAACCCTCGTGAATGGTTCATTGATACCGGTGTAACCAGGCACCTGTGTTGCAACCGAGAGATGTTCAACACCTTTGAGACCGTTGATGGTGAAAAGGTGTGGATGGGAAACTCTGCTCAGTCTGCTGTGGAAGGCATGGGCAAGGTGGTTCTGAAGATGACTTCCGGGAAGGAACTGACGTTGAACAACGTGCTGTATGTTCCTGAGCTGAGGAAGAATCTTGTGTCTGGCGCTCTGTTGAACAAGCATGACTTTCGCATGGTGTTCGAGTCAGACAAAGTTGTTTTGTCCAAGTTAGGGATGTTTGTTGGTAAAGGATATGTAACTGATGGGCTTTTTAAGCTCAGTGTAGTTCCTGTTATCAATAAAAGCAAAGTTAATTCTGTTTACTTGCTTGAGTCTTCCAATTTGTGGCATGGTAGACTAGGTCATGTTAATTTTAATTCTATGCGTAGATTAATTAGCATGGACCATATTCCTAACTTTCAAATTGACACAAATAACAAGTGTGAAATTTGTGTTGAGGCAAAACTAACGAAGGTACCTTTCAAATCGGTTGAAAGGGAAACTGAACCACTAGAATTAATCCATAGTGATTTGTGCGATTTTAGATCGATACAAACGAGAGGTGGTAATAAGTATTTTATCACATTTATCGATGATAGCACACGATACTGCTATGTGTATTTGCTTAAGAGCAAAGATGAATCCGTTGATAAATTCGTTCTTTATAAGAATGAAGTAGAAAACCAACTTAATCGGAGAATTAAGAAGGTTAGAAGCGATAGAGGTGGTGAGTACGAAGCACCTATTGGTGACTTCTGTGCAAGTGTAGGTATAATACACGAACGTACGGCACCTTACTCACCTCAATCGAACGGTGTTGCCGAACGAAAGAATCGTACATTGAAAGATATGATGAATGCGATGCTTATAAGTTCGGGCCTACCTCAAGATGCATAGGGTGAGGCGATTTTGACAAGTAATTACCTTTTGAATAAGGTACCCCGCAAAAAGCTCGATAAGACTCCTTATGAGCTGTGGAAAGGTAGGAAACCTTCCTTCCAGTACCTGAAAGTGTGGGGGTGTCTTGCCAAAGTTTTGGTTCCAACACCTAAGAAAGTAAAGATAGGTCCTAAAACGGTGGACTGTATCTTTATTGGCTATGCACATAATAGTAGTGCTTATTAGTTCTTAGTACACGAGTCCAATAATCCGGATGTACACGAGAACACGATAATAGAATCAAGGAATGCATATTTCTTCGAAAATATATTTCCTTGTAGGTCCAATGAGGGAGCAAGTACGTCAAAACGAACGTTTGACGAAACTATGGATAATGATAGTGGGGAATCTGAGAAAGAACCCGAGCTCGAGCCGAGACGCAGTAAGCGGGCGAGAGTTGGAAAATCATTCGGTCCTGAGTTTCTAACTTACTTGTTAGAGTATGATTCGGGTACTCTAACTTGTTTATTAGAAAATGAACCCGATTTTCTATCCTGTTTGATAGAGAATGAGCCTCGAACGTATGTAGAAGTTGTGACTTCTACAAAAGGACCAATGTGGAAAGAGGCTATAAAAAGTGAAGTGGATTCTATCCTACAGAATCACACTTGGGAACTTGTTGATCTTCCTCTGGATAGTAAACCCTTAGGATCCAAGTGGGTCTTTAAAAGGAAGATGAAACCTGATGGTTCCATCGAGAAGTATAAGGCTAGGCTTGTAATCAAGGGTTACAGGCAACGTGGGGGGGTGCAAATCAAATTCCAACTAGACGAGACTGAAAAAAGCTTGATTCAAGCCCGAGCTCGTGTGCGCCTGCGGGCACGAATGTCGTCCGGAAATTGGCTGTTATGCCAAACTTCGGTATCATTTTCCAAACATGCCACTTGACAGTAGCAGCAAGTTTCGGCCATATACGGCCGAAACATGTCCAGTACTTTCGGCCTTGTGGCCGAAATGTCCTGAACATGCCGAAAGTTTCGGCCTTTGGGCCGAAACTGGGTAAGGTCGAAAGTTGAGACCGAACCCTGTACGCCAACGGTCTGGAACCCGAAAGTTCTGACTGTTATGGGGATTGAATTCATCTGTTACGGAATTAATATCCTATTAACTCCAATTTTGAATTCTGAATTCAATTCCTAGGTAGTGGGCTGCTGTTATAGCTGTTGGAAGGCAGCTTTAATGTCATTTTTAATTGCCATAATAAAGGCTATTGGCTCCTTCAACCCTATATAAAGAGGGTAGAGGCAGTGGAGTTGACACACACAAAAAAATTGAACACGAAAGTTCATCATTTTTTTAGCCTCAAAATCTCTCTGCTTCTACTCTTTCTTTAGCTATACTGTGTTCATAGTCGTGTCTTGCTCGCCGGATTCCTTGTTTGAGTGCTCAAACATTGAATCACTAGCAAGTTTTATCATGGGAAACCTAGGCCACAAAGCTCCTAGCATCTTTGGGAGGTGGCAAATAAGGTTTTAAGGAAAGAGTGCTCACTTGACTCTTGCAAAAAACCCAACACCAAACACTAGCCATTTTTTGTCTCCATCTTTCCTTCCCTATTCTTTCCAGGAAAATAATAATCTTATTTTTATTATTATTTGTGTTTTCTACCAACGGTACCTACAATATAGTTCTCTGATTTGTTAAAACAAAGTTCAACAATTGGAATCTAAAGTATAAATTTTATGAATCTATAGTATAGAAATTATGGATCTACAGTATAGAAATTATGGATATGGAACTGTGCCCACCTTGTTCGCAGCATAATTTGTCACCGTAGTTTTCTGTTCACAGCATAATCAGTTTCAGACTCTCAGGCTCCAATTAGCCATTTGAATTTCATATTATTTTAACAGTACTAGTTTGACATATACTATGTTCTATTCATTCTTATGATTTGTAAAAATTACCTGCCATATTTGAAGGTTAAAGTGTACATACCTTAATTGACTTGCCAATTTGTAAAGATTTGCAAATTGAGTTTATGTTCTGTGGACACTGGATAATAGATTGCTATCTAGTTAGCTTTTTAATTTGCAAATGAAATACATTGCAATGATAATTATTATAATAATAATAATAAAATGTCATTTTGCTATCAATCTTTAAATTTTTACTACTTTAGTCTATGTCTAATTATTTTTTTTTCTTTTTAATTAGTTTAATTGTGATTGGTCCCCCGCGCCAACAAATCCTGGCTCCGTCCCTAGGGGCAGATGCCCCCCCCCCCCCCCCCCCCCCTCCTTTGGCTCCTTCCATGTCTACCCCTGCCCAGGCTATGCATGAAACTTTTCAGGTTGATGACAGTTGGGTTCTTTGCAAGGTTGATGCATCACTTTTGAATGGTTCAACAACATTTGGTGCAGTAATCACCTCGCATAAGGGTGAGTTCCTAGCTGCTATTTCAGGACCATTAAGATCTGTTAATAATGCACATCTTGTCGAAGCCCTTACAACCAAAGAAGCATTATCTTAGCTTAAAGAAAAACATTGGCAGAAGGTATTCATCCAATCGGACTGCCAGCAGGTTTGCTAACTCTTCAACCACTCTCTTCGGGACTTATCATATACGGATATTATTATTAGGGATAGTCGTTGTCTCTTATCTAAATTTTAGGCTTATGCTGTTAGATATATTAGTAGGTCAGTGAATGTGTCAGCGCACACTTTAGTCCAGGTTGCACATTCGAACACTGGTTTTTGTAGCTAGGAGGATACCCCCACACTGCATTCATTCTTTGATTAATTGAGTTGGATTTTTCAAAAAAAAAAAAAGAATTAGATGTCTATAATACCTTTATTCAAAAAATAAAAAATAAAAAATTATTCGCATTAAATTTGTCTTCATCAAGTATTTCAGACAAGAGATTTAAAGTCATTTTAAAATTAACTGCAGAAAATAACATGAATTATTAGACACAAATCACACAATTCTTTATTAAACTATTCGATTTTCGAAAATACAATCAAATAGTACCTCCCACTAAATTTTTCAAATCCTGCACTTCCCTAGCAAGAAACAGAAATCCCGTTGGAAGATTTCTAATGGGTAATCGAGATCTTACAAATTTATCTCATTCCTCACCTTAAGGTGCATCTTGAAATTTGAAAATTTTATAAGTGGCCAACTCTTGCCAATGCATCTCATGCATGATTCGATTTTATTAAACTTGGGCTCCATGACCCATTGAACCTCACCTTAAGGGGCATCTTAGCCCAATGGACTCAGTTAAGTCAAACCCACCATCCTAGTAACAATTCAAGTAGAGTCGAACTTCAACTTTTCTCACTTTTAGGGGTTTCTTAAAAAGTAAAGTTTCTAAGTGCTACCACATCACATGTTTAAAATAAGAAAATCAAAATATTTTAAACTAACACGTTGCCCCTATGTTGGCATAGCAGACACCGTGCAAGAAAAAATATTTGATTTCTAACGATAGTGGAAAACCACGATTAGGTAGTCTCAACTCTTGAGGCCTAATCGTTTACAACTTAATATTTAAAATAGGAAAGATTTTAAAAATTATTAAGTTTCACTTTGTTCATGCAACATTTTCACATGTATCACATATATAAAGTGCATGAAAAGTAAACTCGATATTAGTCATGTCGTCCACATATATGAGACGACAGTGACATACAGGTATGAGAGACAAGTTAGACAACAAATTTCATAGATAATTGTTCTTATTTAAATACTTAATATTTAATTTGATGTGTGATGTAGTGTTGTTTGTGAGATTAGATAAATCAAATTATATAATGAAAATCTCAATTGTATTTTTTGTTTTGACGAAAACAAATTCAATAATTCATTAATACGTCTATTCAATATTTTTAACCTCAAGTCCAATTTCATTACACTCTGGCCATAGATTCTTGTTATATGATTATTGAATAGACTAGATCACTAGAACATCCTTGTTACCTCAAGACGGTGAGGAATACACACACACGTCTCCGTACAATACTGAACTAGGCCTCCAAGTACACTTTTAGTCCAATAAGGAACAAAAGACGCATACTGGCAAAAACTAGTCCACCATATGTACAAGAAAACCATGTTGTCTCAAGTCAAAGACTCAAAGGATTATTGTATACTTGTAACATACAACATAACGATGACACTTAGGCAAACACCATGCGGTACGTTGTAGTCAGTCATTGTTCAATGGCTTGTTCTCTAATAATCATCCACATATCCACTCTCTGTATCTCATACAGAATGACATGAGACTCACCATAAGAATGACAAGTTGCTAGTCTTATCAAAATTCTAATGCCCAATTAGAATTCCTATGATTAGGAACATTTTTACAATACATCATTTATTAATTTTTCGTCACTCATATTTCATAACTCTTAAGAATGAAGAATTAAAAAGATGCAATAATCAACAACTACTAAGGGTAAATTAATTTTTAATGAAATTGCAATAAACTGATATCAAATATCAATAAGCTATTTAAAGTAGCTTTTTCATTTTTAGTTTATTAGCATCAATAAACTAAGTAAAGTTATTTACCAAACACTCAAAATTAACTGTTTGACCAATCAAAAAGTTAAAATTTGTCAAAATTAGTCATTTTCTAAAAATTTCATATTCAGATAACTTTATTAGAGTTAATTCCATCATAGGTTCATTATTTTTTGTGACAATTTCAAAATTAGTCTCAGGTTATCATTTTTGTCATTTAACGTCTCGACTATTATTTTTTAAACACTTTTAGTCTAACTTTTTATATTTTTAGTATAGATATTTTTGTCTTTTCATATTTCTCTTATGTTAAAAAGCATGTAAAATAGTGGCAAACGTTTTAAATTTTGTTGTCAAAGTGAAATTATTCGAAGGATTAGGCGTTGATTGGTAATTACGACCACTCTAAAGCCCAACACCCCAAAACCTTTGAGCAATCCGGCGGCGTTGAGCAAAGGATGGTGGGAGACGAAGGAAAACTTGCCGAAAGAGAAGAAGAGGAGGAGCAGATTGTTGAAGGCCTGGGATTGTATAAAGGAAAGGTGAGGATAGTGAACAGTGAAGAGCCCTCAGAGGAGACGATGCTGCTGTGGGGAATACAACAGCCTACTCTCTCAAAGCCCAATGCCTTCGCCAAACAGTCCTCCCTCCAACTCCGCCTTGACTCCTGTGGCCGCTCTCTATCCATTCTTCAGTCTCCTTCCTCTCTGGTATGCACTCTTACCAGAAATTTAATTTTAAAGATTCTGTTTTTTTCTCACTGCAAAATCAATGTGTTGGTGGTATTATAATCTGCTGGAGTATGTAATTTTTAATCTATTATTTGCGTCTTATTGTTACCGCAAATCAACAAGTTCATGAATTTGCTAGGCAATTAGTGTACCGTAATTTACACTTTTGTATCGCAAGGAGAAAGCGGAAAATCATGTTCTCTAAGCGGAAAACTGTCCATCTTTCACACACAAGATTTATATTATCATAGTATTGCAATCAGTAATGCCTCAAATGATCAATTGCATAGATATGCTTTTGAATTTAGGGAACTCCAGGAGTAACTGGTTCAGTAATGTGGGACAGTGGAGTTGTTCTTGGAAAATTCTTAGAGCATGCTGTGGAATCGGGTACTGTTTTGCTTCAAGGAAAGAAGGTCGTTGAATTAGGCTCTGGCTGTGGATTAGTGGGGTAATTATTATTGGTGCTTCAACTTTGTCATATAGTGTCGATGCTATGCTACTCTTTACCCGTTAAGGATATCTATAGTAGCAAATTCAACATGGAAAACTAGTAAAAGTTAACAATTATATTCCATTGTAGAGTTATTGCAGACTAGTATGAGGTACTTCGCATTAAATTTCAGTTTATATAAACTTGTTTTGCATTAGTACCAAGTAAAACATATATTTTTAATAAATCTATTGCCTTTCTTCTGACTTTTGTCATTTCAGGTGCATAGCAGCACTTTTGGGTGCTCACGTTATTCTTACTGATCTTCCAGATAGATTGAGATTACTGAAGAAAAATGTTGAAGCTAATCTGTATGGAGATGTAAAAGGTTCTGCAACAGTGACTGAACTTACGTGGGGAGATGAACTCGAACCTTTTCTGTGCGATCCTTTGCCTGATTATGGTATGATGGGCAACCTTTCTTGAATACCATAATACCTTAATAGTTCAATTTCTTATTCATGAATGCATGCCAGATAAAAAGAGCTAATCATAGTACATATTTTACAATTGTACTTAATTTTTTTGACCAAAACATGTAGCTAAATAGATGAAATGCTTACCTGGAAATTAGTTAGATATTTATTTAGTCTTTTCTTGAAATGCAAATCCACTATTCATTGAAACAATATTACTTGGGTAATTTCTCTCAATTCTCTGTGAAAGATGGCAAATATTTGAATGAACAATGTTCATATCACAATATACCAATGTTCATATTCTGATATATTACTTTTTAGGTGATAAAACCATTTGAATATTAATGTATTAGTACTTGAGCATTTATCTCATGAACATTAACATATTATCATATGAATGTACATGTAATACAATTTGGACATTATTACTATGGTGCATGTAGCTGTGTGTACTAGGGTGTCTGTGAGTATTGCTGGTAAAAGAGATTGTAGTTCGTCAATGAAAGAACCTCTCTACTCCCTAGGTAGGAGATTGATAAAGGCCTTGTTTGGTAACATAGTTAGCTTATCAGCCAATTTTAGCTTGTTTGACCACTATTAGTTGTTTGACTTGGCTAAACAGCTAATATGAGTGTTTGGTTAATCAGCTTTTTTGTAACAGCTTGTTGTTCTAAACTGCTAAAATTCAAAAAGCTGCTTTTTTGAATTATATCCTTAAAAGTCATTTTGCATGTAATCAGCTAATAGCTAATTTACCAAACATCTTTCTACAATCAGCTAATGCTATCAACTAGTCAAATCCACCAACCCAATCAGCTAATTAACAGTTATTTGTCAAACACCCGCAAAGTGATTTGTCAACCAAAATCATCTAGGTTACCGTGTTTGATACATATTTGTCCATAGTTGATGTCTGAAATCTCCTTAATTGATGCCATGGTATTTTTCTTCGCTTAACTGAATATAAACTACACGGATAACATTATCTTTCATTGCAGTTCTGGGGTCGGATGTAATTTACAGTGAAGGAGCAGTAATGGATTTGTTGGAAACACTTGTAGACCTCTGTGGTTCTGAAACAACAATTGTTTTGGCTGGTGAACTTAGAAATGGTACAAATTATCGATGCCTGTAACTTCTAGTCATAATCCAGCGTTTTCATATTCTCCTTGTTGTTGCAGATGCCATCCTCGAATACTTCTTTGAAGCAGCTTCGAAAGAGTTCATTGTGGGGCGTGTTGATCAAAAGCAGTGGCATCCAGATTACCTCAGTCCCCGTGTTGTGATTTACGTTTTAGTGAAGAAGTAAACCTGCTCTTTTGCTTTCATCTATTCCAAGCTGTGTTTCTGCTCGACACATTTTAATATTTCTTAACATATACATAATAGATAGCTGTTTGAATTGCTTTACGTTTAGTGTCTTGTAGTATAGTTTTCCTTGTTTTATGCTTTACAATGAGCAAGTGTCTGAATATCTTGTTTGACAAAATTTATGATTATATTTTATCATTAAGATGTCCAATTTTTTTACAATGTCTTGCAATATTGATATTTGGTAGTGGTAATTTTTAAAGTGAAATTTAAGAGTTACTACAATGTCTTGCAATATCAATAGGTGCTTGTTAGATATCCAATTTGTAATGATGTTCCAATTTTTTTACCAATGGTTTTTGTTTAGGCCCTTAAATGAATTTTTTTTCAGGTTGTAACTCTTTATCTAACAAGCACCTATTGATATTTGGTAGTGGTAGTTTTTTCCCTACATGTTTGATACATTGTGAGATGTGTTGTAGGCTATTATGTGAAAGTATTGAACAAAATATTAATATTTATTATATTTGTATAAAATACTTGGTAAATAAATATATATAACATATTTTGTATTATAACTTTGATATTTAATTACAAGATAATGTAAAAAGAAGACAATGGACAATGTAGTGAATATAATAAATTAATAAATTTGAAGGTAGTGAATCTTTAAATTGTAGAAAATAAAGATAATATAACTAATGAAATTATATATCTTTTTAAATTTTTTATAATGAATAATTTTTTTAAAAAAATGAAGGCATTATACACATCTAATTCTAAACTAATTAAATGCATATGTATTATTTTTTGTTGTCGCTACTAATTTATTTAATTTAATAAGAGTAATAAAGTGACGTACATACTTTTTATCAACAATAATGAAATCATTGATTTTTTTTTTTTTAATTTCATTTCATTGTTGGGACAAATTGTTTTGAGAGTTTGTCAATGGCAATTGTTACAATTCCTCTCAATAGAGGATGATAATAAATAATTTAAAATATATAGTTACAACAGATATTGTTATAATGATATAGTAAAAATTAACTTACAAATTTCTTTAGTGTGATGTCAACATTGTCAATTCTTTGGAAAATGGTCGTATCGTTTTAGAGTCCGTGTGTAATTGTATTTATGATTAACAACTGTGTAATTAGGTCGCGCAGGTCTAACAATGATGTAATTACAATTTTGTTCGATAAAAAAAAATAACAGTATAACATTTATAAAGTAATTTACAATTGTACCATTATAAAAAATACATACAAAAAATATTAATACCATAACGACCTAAATCATTCCAATAATGCAAAAGTATAATTGAAATATTATGTTTTGTTCTAAATAATCAAAATAAGATTAATTAAAAGAAAAAAAAAAAACTTAACCTAAATTTGTTTTTTTTTTTTTAAGCATCAAAATCAAATGATTTTTAAGGTTCTGATTTATAATCTTTGAATGCTATGTATTTAGTCGGACTAATTATTTGACCAAAGTTTATGTTAAATTTTATATTATATATATTTTTAATATATTTTAACATACTCGTAGTATATGTTTAACAATTATGCCAACTCTAATTGGGATGGAGTTCAAACCTAAGACCTTTCTTATAGAAATTAATCAGTAAGTCAAAAATAATAAATATTTAACGGAATATTTCGTTAGTAAAGTTTATACTAACGTAATTTAAGTTATTTAAGAGAAGAAAATAATATAATAGAGGGTAAATAAGGAAAATCATTAAAAAAAATACTAAAATCAAAATAATATGAACCAATCGTTTCAAGAAACAATTATACCGACATTTTTTTGTTTCAGTTAAGGGCCTAACATTATTGGCTCTTATTAGAATTGTATTGTATGTATATTGTAAATATATATAGTAGATAGTAGATAGTAGATGTTTAAACTATCCAAATTATTTGAGTACACATTTATTAATTTTTTCATAATATTTTTTATTTAAATTTATAACTACACTTATTAACTTTTTCATATTAATTTTTATTTAAATTTATAACTTTTTCAGTTTGGCGGGCTTTTAAGTCCGGCCGTCCCGCCTACCCGTTTCGACAACTCTACTCATTAGATGGGTAGACCAATGCCTATTGCTCATAAGGAGCCCACAATATTTGGACGTAATTCTAATATTGTGGCTATCAGTGCATAATTTACCATCCAAAAATTAACTAAATTGCTCGTGTGAATAATATTTAAACTAATTTATGAAATACCTTTGTTAACTTCATTCTTTGTCTCTTAATTTCATAGGTTGTTGAGTGAGCAAGTGGTAAAACATATAGTTAGTGGGAATAGGTTAGGAAGTGGTACGATGTGCAAAAAACATGTGTCTTCAACTAAAGAAGATTGCCCGGGAAATTAGGTTATAATATCCAATTAACATACTGAATTCTGGGAAACAAAATTAAAATCTATAATACTATATGCCAATTGTCTTTGTTTATAAAGGAAATTTTGATGAGATGTAAATGCAATAGAACAACAAATAGAAATATATCATTATTAATTAATAATGGAAGTACAACAATTACATAGTACTAAAATCAAAATACCATTATTAATAACTTATTACACCGTACAACACTACAAATTAAATGTCCTTTATAAAAATTCATCCCAAGAAAAAAAAAAAAAATACACCTTTCATGTTAAAAAAAGAAACTCAAAATTTATCAACTGAATTATTTCTAGTTTTGGTCTTACAACGATTAAGTCACTTTCACATTTAGTTCATAAGTATTATTTTTTGTCACATTTAGCATACATTTATGTTTTTTTTTTTTGCCACATTTGTTCATTTTGATCAATCATCGATAATTGTTAAAAAAAAAAAAAAAGTGAAATGCATCACATAATATTTTTCTTTCTAAAAGTGTCGAAGGGTTATGTTCAAGTCAATATAGTATTGAACTGGGAAGTATGACACATTATGTTGTGTGCTATAAGATATTTGGTGGGAAGGATAAGTGTAACCAAAAAGCTATAAGATATTTGGTGGGAAGGATAAGTGTAACCAAAAAACAAATGATAGGTGTGTATCAAATGTGATAAAAATAATACTTGAAAACAAAATGTAAAATTGATTTAATAATTGTGAGACCAAAATAGAAATAATTCTCATCAATTTGATAAACTAACCTTTAATTTGTTACATTAGACTTGACATCATAAAAAATTAAAATGAGTATTATTACAGGTATTTTTAGAGAAAAATATTTTTTAATGTAACATATTAAGATTAGTTCTTGTAGGTATTTTTAGAGAAAAATATTTTTTTTAATGTAACATATTAAGATTAGTTGATTGTTTAATCTTGTTTTTGTTTTTGTTAAGTAGAAGGAAATACTCATTAGAGTAATGCTAGAGATTCCTAATAGTTTTTCTCTCCAATTCATTTCTCATGACGTGACAACATCTAATTGGTAACTAAATTCTATTTTTAATAAGTAGCCTGGTGAGACCAAGCAATTCATAACGCCCAATGAATAGAAGCCACGTCAGGAATGAAAATATTTGAGGTGAAATTTAGGATGAGAAGAAAACATTTTCCTTGTCATTAATATGAAGCAAATACATCAGCAACAAAGGAAGGATGACTATCCGTCCCATTGAGTCACTGTGATTTACATCCTCCCACATGTTCTGTCGGGTCAGAGTGTGGGGGCCCTTAGTGTTGAGGATTCAGTCTTTTGGGGTAAGGATGACTATCCGTCAAAACTCCCGGACCCGATTGATACGAACTTCTAACTAGAAAATGAACAACTGGCTTGGGTTAGCCAAACGTATAACATAAGCAACAATAAGTGACTAAGTGTATCAAAATGCCTCATAAAACCGATACAATCGCTAAGTAAAGCACCCTTATAGCTAAGTTGATTGTTTAATTAAAAAAATAAAAATATTTTTATTTGATTATTATTAATTATTGTAATATTTCATTTTAAGAAGTGTTATACTTATACTCTTAGGAATCTGAGTTAGTACTATACATTTAAATATTTTCAATTCCCATCACGATGTTTCCTAAGTACTAACATAGTAACATCTCCATTTAAATTCCAATACACATTGCATGTGTTCCTCGTTAGTATTTATTTATTGGAAAAAGTTAATATGTACATGTGAGTCACAAACAATAAGAAAATCAAACTTAAAAATAGTTTTGCATTTTTTATACTAGTGTTCTTTAGATTTTAGCCTAAAATAGAAGCATACAAAAAAAAAAAAAAAAAAAGACTAAGGGTGCGTTTGATTAAAACATTTGGATCAGAATAATAATGAAAATCAAATACTTGGTAATGGTAATGAGTTTAACGTTTAAGTAAAAATAGTCTCTTTATTTAGTAGTAAATAGAAATTGGAATCAAAATAAATAAATAAATAAATAATTTAAAAAATAATATATATATATATATATATATATATATATATATATATATATATATATATATATATATATATATATATATATATATATATATTAAAATTTCATAATGCATAGACCATGATCTTTTTATTTATTTTTTTCTTTCCTCATTTTTTTTCATTTCATTGTTCAAAAGTTTGGAAGAAGAAGAGTAATGAGTTTTATAATAACCCAATAGGGTAGCTCAAGTTGCAAATGAGCTCTCTTTGTGGGGGAGAATTTTGGGATAACTCGGGTTTGATTCCCACAAGTGACGATTCTCTTTGGGCTAGCTTCTGTACCTCTCAGAGCGAATCGGGTGTACTTGGACCGTTAAACGGACAGAGAAAGACTCGGACCACAATGTGTGGTTTACACCGAAAAAAAAAATGAGTTTTATAATTAATTAACAATTTGAATCCAATAATAAAATAACAAACTTATGCAAACAAACATGGTAATAAGTATCAAATCTCACAGTAGGCTACAAAAGTCCACGACCTAAATAAGTGAGTTTGAAAACTAATTCAAGGGTACTATTGTAACTCCAAGTTACTTATGGACAAAGTTACAATTATCGTATAATTCAAGAGTTAAAATGTAATTTTTGCTTTTATTTACTAGTACTAGTAGTGTCCTATATTTGGGTAATAAATTGCACAAAAGT